TGATATTACTGTTTATTTAATACGTTAACATGAATGGTTCTCAGTAATTTTTTCTTAGCTTTGCACTGTGCTTCATCATTATAAATGCATAACTTTCAGTACAACAGTGATAAAATGAATAAATAAACAAAGCTTCAAAGTAAAAAAAATTACAAACAAATTTTTGAAAAAATGCGGAAAAAAAGTGCTTAAAAACATAATTGGAATTTGAACTCTAATTTTCAGAAACACTAAATTTCTGCAAAAATTGTATAGTTCGCTTTTGCTTTCTCTGTAACACTTATCATCTGCATTTTTTTCCACACCTTTTTAAGCACTGTTCAGTATTGTACATCTGATGCTTAGAAAACTTATATACCTTTTTACCTGTCGCTGTAAACATCGTATTATGATAAAGTTAATTATACCTGAGTTTTTTTCTTTAGATATGTAAATTGATGTATCCAAAAATAAGCCTCTAGTCTTTCGTCGTAAAACTTTTTCCGGAGCAGCTTTTGCTTATTGAGAAAAAAAAATGAAAAAATTTTGATCACAAAATTTTGCCTACAAAAAAATTACTGTTCTCTTTTATCACTTCTTTTTTTATTTAAAATGACTTTAGGAAAGTTCTTTGAATCATACTACGCTGAGTGCAAAAATTCTGAAAATTCGTTTGCATGTCTATCAAATCCATTTGCAACAAGCAGTCTAATGTATCGTCGCTCCTTCTGCAGTTCACGTTTGAATTTTTTTCAAAATACCTACTGACTAATAAATTAAAAAAACTTTAAAAAAATTGGAATTTAAGAATGTGAGTCTTGTTTAGCTCGACAATTTTTTGAAAAAATGATTAACTGCAACTTGGTACGATTACATCAAGAAACCTACACATTCAAAAACATACACTTTACTACTACTAAATAAAAGGTTTTTTGACCTATTTGTTGAGAACAGTAGAAAGATTTTTATTGTAGTTTAAAGTTTTCTCATTAAAACGTATTTACTCATTTCTCTTTAGTTGGTTCTTATTTCCTGAGTTTGAGTTTAATTTTCATTTGTTGTATTATTTTAAAGTAATTTTAATTGAAAGTTTTCCTTCCTTTAGCTTTTACTTTCAATCTCTTGTTGTGGTAACGACAATATTTTGTTCTAGACGTTATCGTTTGAAAAGTTATCCTTAATTTAATTCGTGAATTTTAGTGAGCGCTAGGTAATTATTATTTCTTTTTGTTAAATTTGCTTTCATAATACATATG